CCTCGCGCCGTCTGTCGGGCCCGAGCTGTATGTCTGTGCCAGAGGCCTCTCCCGCCCATCGATCGCCTCTGGGCTGACTCGTGCGAGCGGTTCTCCGTGTATCGATGGTGGCCAGTAGCCGGCACTGGTTTGCCGGATGCTGCAGCACACGATAGCTGTGACGCGACAGATACCCCTCGGTGCTGCTGAGCGGGTCCCCGACGCGTGCGCGTGGACGGAATTCGACCCGCGAGGAACCTCTCGAGCCGTTGGTAGCGCTCCACCTCCGACCGGACACGTCATCTGGCCCTGCGCTGAGGCTGCTGCGCACGCATACCGCCAGGGTGCTCACCACGCAGATGCCAGAGACGCGCCGATTGCGGCTGCCTCGCTTGCACACGTGTCCACAGACCTCTCCGGTTGACCACTCGGAGATCGGCAAGGCGCGAATTTGCATTTCGGTTCTTCCTCAGAGACAGAAGGCCCACTCGGCATGCTGCGAGGCAACGCCATCATGTGGCATAAAAGTGCATTCCCTGCCACAGAGAGCCACTCGGTGCAGCCGCGCAGCGGGCTCGTGGCATCACCCGATCCATGTAGAGTGCACGAGGTGCTCGGCGACGGGTGCAGCCCTGATGCGAGTCGTGCTGGCATGCTTACGCTGTGCGCCAAAGGCTCGCCACCGCCAGGGTCACAAACCTGATCCGCAACGCGATTGTGACCCTGGTAGGGTGGCTTCCTCGATGGCTTGTGACCACGGCGAGCGAACATATGGCGACCGGCTGCGCAGCCCGACGCTGACTTGGCTCACGGGACCCACAAAGCAGCTATCGCGCAGCGCCCGTCGCTACACGTAGACAGTGAACACTGGATACGTCCAACGGCGTCCAACTTGGTAAAATTCGGTCCAGCTGATTAACCCTGGTAGGTGGACAAAAGTATGCGTTTTTCGGCCTCCCCTCCCTAACATTAGCCGGCCAAAATGTGCTCCTACCGGCTAATATTAGGGAGGGGGGGGCGGTCGGGTGTCAGACCTAGCGCTAGGCGTGCGAGGCTGACGTATTTTGGACAATCCACCTACCAGGGTTAACATCTTTCCCCCCTTTACCAACTTGCGCGCGTCCGCCCCCCCCCTCGCCCGCTCGCCAGGGATCTTCACCAGAGTACCCGTCGTACACGTGACGGAGCCAGTCTCTCCCGTGACCGATGCCCGCCTCATCGGAGCCGCTCCTTCCTCCGTCTGGGACGTCCGACTGGGGCACCGGCCGCCGCCTCATTGTCGTCGTGTCTGCCGTGCTGTGTTGCCTCTTCAACGCCGGCCTCGCGTTTGGCTTCTCGGCCCTCCTGCCGGTGCTCATCGACAGCGGCGCATTCCACGACGTGTGCTCGTCATCCAGCGCCGGCGGCGCCACCTGTCCCGAGCAGCTCGCCGCGCTCACCGGAATGTTTACGCTGGCCACGTCCCTGCTGAACGTGTTTGCCCTCCCGTCGGGAGCGCTGCTCGACTGCCTTGGCCCGAAGAGGACCGCGGGATGCCTGCTGCTGTGCTCGGCCGCGGGCTGCATGCTCTTCGCGCAGGGAGGAGACGGCTCTCAAGGGCACATCGCCTTTTATGGCGGGTTTCTGCTCTTCGCCATCAGTGGCCCCTCCATGTTCAACTGCACCCTTTCCTTTTCGAATTTCTTCCCGAAGCGGAAGGGGCTCATCTGCGCCTGCTTGGTTGGCTGCTTTGACGCGTCGTCCTCCATCTTTGTCGGACTCGCGAGCTTCATCAGCGGCGGCGCCACCATCAGAACCGTCTTCCAGAGCTACGCCGCCTGTCCCGCGATCTTTGCCCTCCTCGCCCTCTCCCTCTGGCCCGCCGCGCCAGTCTCGGCGCCCTTTGAAGCCGTCGCCTCGACCGACGCGCCGATCGGGTCCGACCTCTCACGCCGGGGCGTGAGGGCGCAGATGCTGACCCTGGAGTTTGTCCTCTTGACCCTCACCGTCTGCGTGACGATGATTTGCATCAACTTTTTCATAGCCACATCCTTGTCGCAGATGACCGAGGCGAACCCGGACGCGGCAATTCAGCTGACAAAGGCCTTCTCGATCATCCTCCCCTGCGGAGCTATCGTCTACACGCCGGTGATTGGAAGCCTCGTGGACCGCATCGGCCCCACCAAAGGATTCGTCGTGCTGTGGTTTGCTTACCTGGCCTTCCAGCTGCTCCTGGCCATCCATGCGGCCACCGGGTACACCGACGCGGCCTACGCCGCCTTTGTGATCTTCGCCTACTGCCGGCCGCTCTTCTACACCCTCGGTGCGAGCTTCACCGGCGAGGTTTTCGGATTTGGGAACTTTGGTACCCTCTACGGCACGGTCAACACCATTGCGGGCTTGACCAACACCCTCATGCAGCCGCTGAGCGGCATCGCGACCACGCAAGGCTTTGGGGTGGCGAACAGCATCGTATCTGCGGCGTTCGTGGTCACGGCCGCGCTGCCTGCTTACTGCCTCTGCCGGGGCTCCGCCACCCAGGGAGTGCGGGCGTCGCTAACCGCCAGGGCCCATAGCGTCGATCTGGTCCACGAGTGAGACTGAGGTCGGAGCTCCCGCCCGCGCGGCTGACGGCAGGGGTCGGTTTTTGCAGGGTTCACAGGGGCGAGCGTGCGCGTGCGTCAGCGCGGGCGGCACACCCGCACCCCGCGCGCAGCTGTGCCAACCAACCTCACTTCTCGGAAGTCGGATGACGGATCGGTCACAGAGAGCCGCAAGTCGCGGTGTTGTGGTGCGATGACCCAAAACACACATTGTACAGAGTTTACACAAATAGCCGGCTCGCCTACTTCTCCCGGTGCGCGTACTTTGCGGTGCTGTCAAAGCCATTTGCAAGGAGCGAGGCGACGGACTGTTGCACCATCTCCTTCGTCGACCTGTACTTGATGCCAAGCAGCCGCTCGGACGGGGACGCGTCGTACAGAACCGGATTGGGCGGCGACTGCGCCATCACTGGCGGGCCAAGGACTGCGCTGACTGAGGTCGGCACGTTGGCCTTCATGCCGGCCGGCAGCGCCTCCCTCACGGCGTCGGCAATCTCCGCCTGGTGGGGCGTGGCGCCGATGAGCAGAAACCGCTCGCCCCACCCGCTGCCCGTCGTAATGGCCGCCACGTGCGCCTCCGCCACGTCCCGCACGTCGACGATGCTCTTGCAGCTGTTGTCGAGCTGGGAGAGGCTGCCGTCCATCATGCCGACGATGGTGTTTTGCGATGTGTTGAGGTGCGGCTGGCCTAAGGTAAGGTAAGGTAAGGTAAGGTAAGATAAGGCCCAGCAGGACCGGCCCAAACCGATGCGGCTGGCCTCGCAGGACCGGCCCAAAGATGAGCGTCGGGTTGAGGACGCAGAGGTCGAGCGAGCTCGCCCTGCTCACCTCCCAGGCCACGCGCTCCGCGGCGGTCTTGCTCAGGCAATACCAGTTCTCCTTCTCCCGCACCAGCCCCTCCGACGTCCAGTCGGCGCTGCTCCAGACGTGATCGTCGGCGACGGTGCCGTACGAGACGTAGACGGCGGCGGTGGACGAGGTGAGCACGACCTTGCGGACTCCCGCCCGGACGCACGCGTCGAGGACGTTCCGCGTGCCCTCAACGGCGGGCTTCACGAGCGCATCCTCGGTGCCGTTGGCAAAGAAGAAGGGAGAGGCGGTGTGCATACACACGTCGCATGAGGCCATCGCCGCGTCGAACGCGCCCGGCGTTAGCAGATCGACGCCGTCGAAGATAACGAGCCGCTCAGAGCCGGGGAGCGCCTTGAGATACGCGGCCTTCTCCTTGCTGCGGACGGTCGCGTGGACAATGAAGCCTTGCTCGAGGAGCAGCTTGGCGCACCAGGAACCGAGAAAGCCAGACGCTCCGGTGAGGCAGACCTTTTGCGGCATCGGAGAGCGCCAGGGAAGAATTCTTGCCAACGCCTCCAAGTGCTCCAAGTGCACAGCCTCTACACAGCACACTGGCACGACAAGGGCGCCGACCGCGGACTGGCACACACTGGCAGCCACGAGAAAAAGAATTTTACAAGAAAACTCCCTCTGATGTGTACGCCTACTCAGGGTGTGTGGCAGCCAGCTGGCTGTGTGTCTTGTGAGCTTGTTTGTGTCTGTGTGTCGCTCGTGCGTGTCGTCATCATCTGTCTTGCGTCCACCCATACCGCGTTGGTGTCCAGTCCGAGCCTGACTGTTCTTCACCTTCCTACCTACCTACCTACTCCCTCGCACGACACTGGGCACAGGACTGGGCACGGGACTGGCTCGCACTGGCACTAACACAGGTACACCACGGGAGCCGCCTAAGCGACTCCTGCGAGGGTGGCGAGGCACTTAGCTCCGTGCACATTGCCGACGTGGCTCTCGAGCTGCGCGCGCGTGAGATAAGTGCCTACAGACGGCCCGCTCTGCACTTTGGTGAGTACTCCAGGGGGACCCGTGACGTGGCAGGCGTGCTACCCAATATGCGCGCCTTGGTTGCCCACCATCTGCTTGAAGAGCTTTTCGTAAAATGCGAGCGACTCCTCGCAGAGGGGCAGCCGGGCGGCCCAATCATCCTCCGCAGCGGCGTCGCACGAGGCGCTGACGGCCGCGGTGGACACTCCGAGTCCGGCGGTCAAGGCGAGGCGCCGCCACGCGAAGCCCCCGAGGCGCGCGGTCTGGGCGCGCCTCGCCAACGTCGGCCTGATCGCGAGGGCCCGACCGAGTCCCAACCGCAGCAGCATAAACACGTCGCGCCCCCCAGAGAGGATCGAACCGCCCGCCGGATTTGCCATGCTTCGCATCTATTCGCCGATACACAACCTACAAACACGTGAACAGGGCTCCAGGCCCCAAATAACGTGTGAGTGTTAGAGTTGTTTGGTATTGCTAAAAATCTTCCGTAAGCTAAAAGTAAACCTTTGCCGCTTCGAATTTTCTTTTTGCGTGCCCTGTGTCGTGCGCAACTCCAAAATTCTTTTTGCGAGCTCACAGCCTGTGCAGTTGCCGACAACTGAAGCCTGAAACCGTGGTGCTGTCGGCCCAGCTCCATGAGCCGACTCCTCGACCTCGCCACCGGCGCGGCGCTCGGTGCTCTCGGGCTCGCTCTGATCGTCACGCTCAATGAGCGGCTCGAGGAGGAGACCCGGCGGTTGTGGCGCCGCGGCCTTCTCGCCGCTTCTCGAGCCGCTCGCTCGACGCTCACGTACGACCAGGAGGACGAGCACGGCGACGAGCAGGAGTTCAGCATGAGCAAATCGCCCGGCACGCCCGGCTCGCGCGCGGCGAGCGGCGCACGAAAGTGCCAGCTTGGCGTGGGTTACAACAAGCAGCTCGCCGAAGAGCGGCGGCAAATCTACGCCCTGCTGGAGAACCTGCCTCGGCTGCCCGAGCTGGACTACGTGCCGACGGCCAAGTACGAGGAGGCTCCGATTGAGGAGGTGCTGCACCCGCTCATCGCCGAAGCGTCCGTCATCCTCGTCGCCGGTGCTCCCGGCCAGCCCTCCGCCGACCCATCCCCTCTCTCCATCACCCTCGACCCTCTCTCCATCCATCGACCCTCTCTCCCACACACTCGCGGCCCTGGTGTCGCGGCGCACACGCCCCTCCGGTGCGCAAACAGGCGCCTACTTTGGGGACGAGGGCAAGGGCAAGACGGTCGACGCGATCGCGCGGCACCGAGGTCGACTTCCTGGACACTTCCTAGACGGCGCGTCGACACTTCCAACACACTCTGCCTAGGCACCCCGAGGTGAAGGTCGTCGCGCGCGTCAACTCGGGCGAGAATGCGGGGCACACCGTCTTTGGCGAGACCGGCCACAAGTACGACTTCCACCTTTGCCCGTCGGGTCTCCTCACGGCCGGCAAGGTAAACATGATCGCTGTGAACGGCGTCTCTTCACACCTGCAGCTGTGAACAGGCCTCCTCACGCCCGGCAAGGTAAACATGATCGCTGTGAACGGCGTCTCTTCACACCTGCAGCTGTGAACAGGCCTCCTCACGGCCGGCAAGGTAAACATGATCGCTGTGAACGGCGTCTCTTCACACCTGCAGCTGTGAACAGGCCTCCTCACGGCCGGCAAGGTAAACATGATCGCTGTGAACGGCGTCTCTTCACACCTGCAGCTGTGAACAGGCCTCCTCACGCCCGGCAAGGTAAACATGATCGCTGTGAACGGCGTCTCTTCACACCTGCAGCTGTGAACAGGCCTCCTCACGCCCGGCAAGGTAAACATGATCGGGCCAGAGTGCGTGATGGACCCGGCGCGCCGCTGCACACCACGGCGCACGTGAACGCTCTGGCGCAGACTCGCCGCCTCTGACGGCTCGCCGCCGCGGCACACACGCCGCAGGTCTCCTTCATGGAGCGGGAGGTGTCGCAGCTGGTGCGGACCGGAGTGAGCTACAAGGAGCGGCTCTTCATCGGGAACGTCCACCTCGTCTGCCCGCACCACAAGCTGCTCGACCTGATTGGCTCGTGGGATGCGCCCAACCGCTCCACGCTGCAGGCGCTCGCCGCCACCGCCACCGCCACCGCCACCGCCACCGCCACCGCCCCCGCCCTCGCCCCCGCCCTCGCCCTCGCCACCGCCGCCGCCGCCGCCGGCGCCACCGCCCTCGCCACCCCCACCTCCACCCCCACCCCAACCCCCACCCCAACCGCCACCCCCACCGCCGCCCACGCCGCCTTCGCCGCCGCCCCCTGCTAGCCCCCGGCCCGCCGCCACCGGTCCCGGCCCGCCTCTTCGCTGCCCAGGGCATGGGCCCGGTGCACGCATCCCCTACCCCCACGGTACCCGAACCCACCTGCCCAGGGCATGGGCCCGGTGCACGCATCCCCTACCCCCACGGTACCCGAACCCACCTGCCCAGGGCATGGGCCCGGTGCACGCATCCCCTACCCCCACGGTACCCGAACCCACCTGCCCAGGGCATGGGCCCGGTGCACGCATCCCCTACCCCCACGGTACCCGAACCCACCTGCCCAGGGCATGGGCCCGGTGCACGCATCCCCTACCCCCACGGTACCCGAACCCACCTGCCCAGGGCATGGGCCCGGTGCACGCATCCCCTACCCCCACGGTACCCGAACCCACCTGCCCAGGGCATGGGCCCGGTGCACGCGTCGAAGGCATCGCGGCGCGGCTTGCGGCTCGACCACTCTAGAAGCTGGACACGGAGTCTTGGACTCCAACCAGCGCTCGAGAGGACACGTACTCCGCTGGACTCGCCCGTGTTCCGCTGCACTCACCGTACTCGTACCCCTCGTATCACACGCGGTGCTCGGAATGCTCTGCACGAGACCGCACACTCCCGCCCTCCATGTCGGCGTCTTCAGCACGGTAGGCTCGGTCAGCTCTCCCATCTCTGCTACCACACCACCCTCGGGACTGAACCCACACTGGGTTCGAGACTCTGGAGGTATGGGACACGTAGGCTCGACCACCTGTTCAACGGCCGCGAGGGGCAGCAGGGCTCGCGCGCGCGGTGCGACCCGCCCATCTCTCCGCCAGATCTCGGCTGTTCCTCGGCTTACTCTCCGCCACCTCTCCGCCACCTCTCGCGGCCTCTGGTACTGGCTCCAGCTCTCGGCTATCTCTCGGCCGGACTCTGTGGGTTCCAAACTTGTGGGGGGTGCGGGACCCCGGCTATTGCCGGCAGGGCAGGGCGGGCAGGGCAGGGCAGGGCAGTGTGGGTTTCACACCCGGGGCAGGTAGGGGATCGGGCAGGGCAGGGCAGGGCAGGGCAGGGCAGTGTGGGTTTCACACCCGGGGCAGGTAGGGGATCGGGGCAGGGCAGTCGTGCGGCGTTGTGTGGCCGGGGCAGTGCGGCGGGTCATAATTTGCAGGGATCTCAACCGGCGCAGGCTCGAGCGCGACATGGGCGAGTACTGGGGCGCGCTTTCGTCGAAGAGCATCACCGAGGCGGAGCTGCACGAGAAGGCAAAGGCGAACTCGAAGATCCAGCCACATGTGCTCGGCTTCATCGCGGCGCGCGACAAGGCGGAGCTGGAGACCCAAGCCGAGACAGCCGAGAGACAGCCGAGAGACAGCCGAGAGACAGCCGAGAGACAGCCGAGAGACAGCCGAGAGACAGCCGAGAGGCAGCCGAGAGGCAGCCGAGAGGCAGCCGAGAGGCAGCCGAGAGGCAGCCGAGAGAGAGCCGAGAGACAGCAGAGAGACAGCCGAGAGACCGCAGAGAGACCGCAGAGAGACAGCCGAGAGACAGCAGCAGAGACCGCAGAGAGACAGCCGAGAGACCGCCGAGAGACAGCCTCACCCTCACGCTGGCGCCGCACACACCGCAGGCGCAGTACGTGCTCGACCTCTTCGACCGCTACGTCGTCCACAACGCAGACTTCCCGCCCTGCTGTGAACGGCGTCTCTTCACACCTCGTTGCTGTAAACAGGTCGTCCACAACGCAGACTTCCCGCCCTGCTGTGAACGGCGTCTCTTCACACCTCGTTGCTGTGAACAGGTCGTCCACAACGCAGACTTCCCGCCCTGCGCCGACGTCTCCTTCCTGCTGCGGCAGACGCTCTCGAGCGGAGGCAAGGCGCTGCTCGAGGGTCCGCTGTGAACGGCGTCTCTTCACACCTCGTTGCTGTGAACAGGCAAGGCGCTGCTCGAGGGTCCGCTGTGAACGGCGTCTCTTCACACCTCGTTGCTGTGAACAGGCAAGGCACTGCTCGAGGGTCCACTGTGAACGGCGTCTCTTCACACCTCGTTGCTGTGAACAGGCAAGGTGCTGCTCGAGGGTCCGCAGTCATACTTCCTCTCCAACGCGGCGGAGAAGTTTTGGGACTCGGGCACGCCAGCCTAGCAGCGGAACACGGATTCATGTACCCCAACCAGCGCTCGAGAGGGCGCGTACTCCGCTGTCTTCGACCGTATTCCGCTGCATTCCCCTGCATTCGCACCCCTCGTCTTCACGCGGTGCTCTCAATACGCTGCGCAAGACCTGTCTTCCCGCCCTGAGGTTGGCGTGTTTACAACGCAGGCACGTCGGCTAACACGGACGCCGCGGGCATGCTCTGCGCGGCGCGCGTCAACATCGGGTCGCCGTCGCTCAGCCCTCTCGCCATCAACATCCACAAGACGCCTGGCCCGCACTTTAGATGCGGAAGCCGCGAGACGCTTCCGCGACACTTCTTCCGAGGCGCTTCCGAGACGCTCTTCCGAGACGCTCTTCTGAGACGCTCTTCTGAGACGCTCTTCTGAGACGCTCTCGCCGCATGCGGAAGCAACACGCACCCCCTCTGCACGGCGTTCCCACAGAGACGTCGCGGGCCCCGGGACGCCGTAGCCGTCCTCACCCCCCCCCCCCCCCCTCCCCTTTTCCCGCTCGCCGCCGCAGGCTCGTCGCGAGTCGGCTCCGGCGCGAACCCGTGCGCGCTCGTGCCGCAGCACTACTTTGCGGCCACCGACTCGACCAAGGAGGACTTTGAGGCGATGCAGATCGACTGGCGCGACGTGTGCGCGCAGTACTTTGGCTCCATCGGCGCGAACGGCCTGCTGCGGCCCGGCGCCTTCACCAACCTGTACACTACTAATTACTAGTTAATTACTAATTAATAATTAATAATTAATAATTGATAGGCGCCTTCACCAACCACACTGGCACGTACGACTTGGGTGTCGCCATGGCCGCCGCCTCGTGCGTGCACCCGTCGCACCGCGAGTTTGGCGTCACGTCGGGCCGGCCTCGCGTGGTCGGCTTCTTCGACTGCGTCGCGCACGCGGAGCTCATGCAGGCGCAGGGGCCGTACTGCTCCATCTCCGCCTTTGACCGCGCGGACGACTACGACACGTACGCCGTCTGCGTCGCGTACGTGTACGTCCACCCCGAGGGGAAACCCCTCTCCTCGAACGGGCGCCTCTTCCGGAGCGGCGACATCCTGCACAGGAATAATGAATAACTAATCATTAGTAATTGATAGGCGCCTCTTCCGGAGCGGCGACATCCTGTGCATTAATAATTAATAATTAATAATTAATAATTGATAGGCGCCTCTTCCGCAACGGCGACATCCTCCGCGCGGGCGAGCAGCTGCCGACGCAGCAGGTGCTCGCGCACTGCCAGCCGATCCTCAAGAAGGTCGACGGCTGGCGCGAGACGCCGATCTTCGCGCGCTCCGAGTGGTGGCTCGCGCAGCAGCACCCGGTGGCGCTTCCCGAGAATGTGTGCAAGCTGCTCGACATCATCGAGCACTTCACCAAGACGGTGATCCTCTCGATCGGCAACGGCCCGCGCGGCGACGAGATCATCTACCTGCGCCGCCTCGCCACCCGCGCGTGGGCGACCCCGTCCAAGGCGAGCCGCCGGCCGAGCGCGTCGCTCGAGGAGGCGCTGAGAAGTCGCGCCTAGCTGCTCTCCTCCGCTCCTCGTTCGGCGGCTCGCCGAGCTCAGGAAGCTCGCCCCGACTCTGCGGACCAGCTGGCAGATGGCGGGGAGAGCGCGTAGGCGGGGCTCGACATCTAAGGTCGCCAGTAGTGGCCGGCCCTTTTCTACGGCTTTTGGGGCCCTGTTGTTTGCACCGTGGGGAGAGTCGCAATGGGGAGGGAGGAAAATCTGCTCCTTTCTCTGAGTATTATGTATTGTATTGCATGTCTCGGTTGTCGCGCGTCTGGGAGAGGTGCGTCGTGCGTGCTGGACCTTCGCCTTCGGCGCGCGGCGTTCACGCTTTTTGTGTGTTTACTGCTCGGTCCGGGCTCCTCCTCCTCAGCTCCGCCTGCTGCTGCGTGCTGGGCGGTGGGCGACGGCATCGGCAAGCCCCGCACATGTGAGTCACATACGCAAGAGCTGAAGCTCTCGGCACTCGGGCGAACAGGTGATAGAGGGCGCTGAGACCTGAGAGTTGAGACGTCCCTGTCAACTCTGAGAGTCTAGACGAGCCGCGTCTGCTGTGTGTGCTGAGAGCTGAGTGCTCTGTGACTGTAGCACTTGGAGCACTTAAAACCCCTAAACGGCTGTGGTTCCCATATGGGAACTTCGCCCAATTCTGTGAAAGAGAAAACCGGTCGGCTAAGGAGCGAAGTCGGCCGATCCGGCGACCCGCTTTCGCTTGGCAGACGGCCCGGGTGCTGTGCCGCCTACCACCAGCCGCTTGACTCCGGAGTCGCATCTCGGAGAGAGAATCTAAGATTCCTTCAGATTCCCTAGATTCCCGCAGCACCCTTCGGTAGCGAATGAAGCGCAAGGCAAAACAACGACCTGCGCCCGATCCTCGCTCTGGGCTTGTTGGGAGGTACCTTGGCGTGCCGTGCAGCTTCTTCAACGTAAACGTCGAGGGTGCTCGCTACTTGGCGCGAGTCAAGAGCTTGCACAAGTCTCAAAAGTCCATGCTCTGGATCAAGTTCAACCAGGGCGGCTACGGCGAGGACGCCTTCGCGCCTCTGGCAGTGGTGAAGCAGTGGCTCATATCCGACGACGAGGCGCTCGATCCCAAGTCAGACTGGTACGAGGACCCAGACGAGAGCGACGACGACTCGGACGTGGAGGATGGGGACGAGGCGGAGGGTGGTGCAAACGCGAGGCGAGCGCCAGCCGCACGCCGGCGTGTCGATGAGCCTCGCGGCTCGGTCACAGGCAGCCGATGGCAGCCGGCGGAGGCGCGGAAAACGCCCCACGCCGTCGACAACATCGTCTGGAGAAAGGCCACCGGCGCCGTCCCAAGCCACAAGCCAAAGGTCTTCGCGCGGAAGCTGCCACCCGGTGTGTCGGAGGGGCTGCAGCAGCCGCTGCCTAACCACGGACCGATCAATGTCGAGCTGTTCAACCGGCAGTGGGACATTCGATGCTGGGAGCTCGTCTCGAAATACAGCAAACAGCGCGTCCGCGACCTGAAGATTGGAACCGTGGACGCCGTCTCGCGCAAGCCGAAGATGAAGAATCGCGCCGACGGCAGCAAGGGGAAGCAGCGCAAGGCACCTTCTATGTCGGTGCCCTTCCTGATCCGACTGCACGTCATCATCACGGCGATGTCCATTTGCCGCCTGCCCGCCCGCAAGTACTACTGGCGCAAGGGCAAGTTCGTCGGCTGCCCCGGCATCTCTGTCATCATGTCGGAGAACGACTTTGCGCAGGGCATCCGCTGCCTCTACGACTGCGATCCATCGAAGCTGGTTCCCCGTGGCGACATGACGCAGCCGCCGCCTGTGGGCTACGACAAGATGGCGAAGACGTCCGAGCTGAACGAGCTCGTGATGGAGAACACGCTCAACGCGGTGTGCCCGAAGAAGACGCTGTCGGACGATGAGGCGTCGGCCGAGTGGCGGGGCAAGAACGGCGAGGGCGTCGTGGTCTCCTTCAACAAGGACAAGCCAGCCAAGTGGGCGCAGCGCAACCAGTGCTTCAACGGCCTCGACGGCTCGCGTGTGGTGTGGCACGTCCTCAACTGCCCTCGGCGTGTGGCGGCGGAGCACGGCGAGACGTATAAGTCGACGCTTGGCCTCGCCGCGAAGCTGCACGCAAAGTACGGCGAGGGCTTCGTGATTGGCCAGGACTCGCTGTACAACTCGCCGGTGGTGGTCGTCGACGGGGCGAAGAAGTTCAAATTCAACTTCTTCGGCACCGCCGGGTGGAACCGCCGCGGCATGGTCGAGGACGCCGACGAGCCGGCGGACACGCGCGGGTCGTGCGTCTCCTACTACGCGACGGTTGACGGCATCCCGCTCACGGCGACGTACATGCGCGACAACAAGATCGTCCGGTTCTTGTCGTCGGCGCACGGCGTGCCCACCGCGGTCAACGGCAGCAAGAAACCGCGCTGGAATAAGTCCGAACGCAAGTACGAGGAGGTTTACATGCCGCCTGTCAAGTCCAACTACGATGCGGGCAAGGTGGGCACCGACCTGTTCGGCCAGTACATGGAGCTGCTGGACACTACGTTCAAGTCTTTTCACCCGTGGATGGTCCACCACCTTTGGCTGTGGTTCGGATGTTTTGTCAACGTGCATTGCTGGCGAAACAGGTTCATCGATGAGGGCGTCCGTAGGCTCGCAGGTGCGAAAAAGACGACGCTCATCGAAGACACGTTGCAGACGATGGAGGAGCTGCTTCAGATGGCGGACCGGCTAGAGCGGGAGGGGGCCGCTCGCTCAAAGAAGCGGAAGAGCAGGCCCGACCCGCAGGCGCCGGTGCGCAAGTCGCCACGGCGTGATCCGGTCGTCAGCCGCTTGGGTTCACCGACCCGCCACGTGCCCGTCACGTTCACTGAGAAGGGCAGGTGCAGGTGGTGCCGCAAGCTGATCTACTCCGGGTGCGGCCACCCTGGCTGCGGCCACATGCACGAAGGCACGTGCTGGATGAAGGCCCACTCGAACGACCCGAAGATCCGTGCGAAGCTGAAGGCGCTGTCCTTCCAGCCAGAGATCGCCGATGGCACACAGGCGCGACGCGCCCCGCGATAGAGAGACCGTCACAATCCCGCTCTGCGCCTTCGGCGGCAGGCGGTGGCAAGGGAATGGGGAGACGATACGCCGTCCAATCCGGCAGAGAGTTGTCTTTCGGCAGCACGGGGGGTGAGAGCGTTTGGCGTGGTCGATGGTGCACCGCCGTCACGGTCACACGCACACACACGCGCGCGCCGCGCGCGCGCACACCACTCACACACACACCCATCCTGATCGCGCCGTGCGCTTGGGGGGCCCTCAGGTGTGCATCCGCAAGGTGAAGCGGACGCGCAAGCCCAAGCGGAAGTTGCGCTACAACGAGGAGGAGGGCGGCGCCGGGGCCGACGCCGACGCCGAGGAGGAGGACGACGACGGTGATGGCGACGATGACGCTCCGGCTCCGCCCGCCAAGCGCCGCAGCACCCGCGCGCAGCAGCAGCGCCAGGGCGCGCGGTGAGACCTCTCGCCGACGCTTGAACCGGCTTTGCTGCACTCTGCGACGCTGCGGTACGTGTGTACCTGTCTAGTAGTGACCGGTGGAGTGAGCGGCGGGCGTGATGTCACCGGTTGAGTGCCAGTGTGCGTGCAGAATCGGCGATCGCTGCCCCCGTCTGGCCTGTCCTGGCGGCGACGGACGTGTTTGAGGGAGATTTCGAGGTGACGTCTTTGCCGTCCCTAGCCTCCAAGTGTCACTAAGTAATGTGCAACACCCTCCCTACGCATGCTGGGGTGCTGGGCGGGCGAATAGACGCGCGAGAAGCCCTCTCAAAAATCGACCCCTCGGACCCCGTTTTTAGCTAGCCGTTTAGGGGTTAACCCCTAAACGGCGTTCCTAAATAAATAAATAAATACAACGGACACGCCAAACGAGGGGTGGGAGAAGGACAGGGTCCCCACCTGCACAAGCAGGATCTTGTAGGACGAACGGCGTTCCTTTACATATGTAAAGGAACTCATTGTTATTTTATTCCTTTGCAGGACGGCTGGTCGCAGCGACGGCCGATCCAGCAGTCGTCTGCGACATGGCAGTGGCCCCGGGTCATGTGCAGCTGGTCCCGAGCGGCTCAGGTCCCAGATCGAATCTCGGACCCACAGATTCTAGATTCCTTTAGATTCCCTGGATTCCCGCAACAGCGATCTCTTAGCGGCGGCAAACAGAGGCGCAACTCTGCCAGCAGCGAGGAGGCTCCTGCTGCTCAGCTACCGAGGCCTGGTGGCGTCGGCTGCTGCGTGGAGAAGACAGCAGCACTGTCCGACCTCAAAACATGCACAACAAGCGGGATTTGTGACTCTGTCTTCGATTCTTCAGTCGCTCTGCCGGACGCGCTCGCTTTGTCGCGAGGGTCACCTGTGCAAGCCGTGTGGACGCCCAGAATAGCCTCCCCTGGCTTAGCTAGACTGAGAGATATTGTGCACATGGTCAGCCTCTACAATATATACGCTGACACTTTACCTCCCAGAGCTCGTCTCGGTCCGCCACGGCCATCCTCAGCCTCCGGAGGGCCCCTGGCCGCGGCGCGGTGCGGCGGCGTCACAAATCCGACGTCAGTTCACCGGGACGCGATCGGGCGATCTGAAGTCCAACTAGGCGTATGGATTGCCCGCCCAGGGCTATCACCTGGACCCCTCAATGGACGCCTGCGGTGCCGCCCCCACGAGGTGTTGTTCACACCTGTCCAACCATTCGTGCAGCAGGGACGCGCTGTGTGTGGCTGGCAGCAAACTCAAATGACGACGGGTTGCAGCCTCGTAGCTCAACGGCAACATTGTGCATGAGGAAGGCTGATAGAAGTAGCACCAGCCACACAACCAACAGCTTCTGGAGAGTATGCGGAGCGCAAGCAGCCGGTGATCAAAGGCGTGTGTTGCTGTCGGTGGCAGATTGCCACAGGGACGCCGGCGCTTCGGTGCGTGGCTTAGCGGCGGGCTGGCCGGCGACAACTGGGTTGATGGCGAAGACGGCCAAGGAGATCTTCGTCGAGTGCATGCAAAAGGGCGGCGTTCCGACCGGCCTTACCGCAAAGCAGAAGAACCGCGTCAACACGATCTTCGAGTGGTTCAGCAGCATGGCAACCAGGGAGGAGCTCGCGGCTCTCTCGCCCTCGGCTACCGACTTGGGGGGCGCGAGGTGTCCCCTACTTCACACCAGCAGGCCCCCCCCCTCCTCCGCCAATTGTACTAGTCGCTTTTTTGTCAGGATCATCGCTGCGAGGCTGGACGCGCTCATCAAGGCGCGATTTGCCAAGCTCTACAGCGACAACTGGGAGGCTCGCAAGGAGAAGGGGCCGAGGACGCAGAAGGTCCCGCTCTCGCTCCAGGCTGCCAAGGGACCTCTCACCTCCACCGCCCTCAGCACTGCCATCGAGAACCTCGGCAGCCACAGGACTGGGCTCTTTGAACCCGCTGTCAGTTTGGTGCAGCTCACGCTCGTGTTCTGCTCGGGCTTGATGGACTCTCAGGTGTCGTGTCTCCATGCATAGGTGGGTGTGCAAGGGCGGGAGGCGCTGCAGGCTTGGAGAGTCGGGCGAAGCGGCCCTCTCGAGGAAGGGGACGATGTGCGCCCACCGGCGCCCAAGCGCGCCCGGCCCGCCGACAGCGGCCCAGGCAGCTCGAGCGGCAGCTCGAGCGGCAGCTCCGGCGCAAGCTGCTCCAGCGCCCCCTGCTCCGGCGGCATGTTCGCCTTCTTTCGGCGGGGGAGTTAGCGCTCTCACTGCCGACAGGGTGCGCGCCGCCCATGCAGCCTGGCTCATTCCCGGCCTCCTCCCTTCCGCCTGGCGTTTTCCTCTCCTCATTCCTTGTCTTCCCTCCGCGCAGGTGCCTGCACGGTCTGCGCTGCGGCCCCTGCCTGGCCGCGCCAGCGCAAGCCCTGAGGGCTGGGAGGGCTGGCGAGAGAGGAGAGGAGAGAGAAAGGAGAGAGAGCGTGTCTAGTGTGTGTTACGTCTATTCGAGACCGCGCTGCGCGCGGTCCGCGGTGCCCCGCGCTGCGCGCGGTGCCGGTGGTACCCTCGGAACCCTCGGAACCCTCGGGATGGCGCCCGAGCGCGCTGCGCGCGCTCGCCGAACCCTCGACACCCGGCGCTGCGCGCCGGGCGCGCTGCGCGCGCATGTCGAAGGTTGGGGCCCGTGACGAACCCTGAATTTTTCGCGATGTCCACCCCGCCGCGCCGGAGCGGCCTCGCCGCCGCCTCCACCGCCGCTCTCTCGCCAAGCACGCCGCCGCCCATCCGCCTTCTCGACCTCCCCACGGAGCTCCTCGTGCGCGTCGTCTCTCGCTGCGATCCCGTCGACATCGCTCGTGTCGCGGCCGTCTCGCTGCTCTTTCACGCCTCGCTGGCGCTGGAGGGCATCCGCTTGTGGGCGCAAGAGCGCGGCTACGCGCTGCCGGCGCAGCCAGAGGACGAGAGCTGCGCCGCGCGGTGGCTGTGCTTCGCTGCGTTGCTGCGCGAGTCCAACCCGCCGGTGAAGGCGGCGGCAGGCACTCGGCACAGCCTCTTCATCGACGGCGAGGGGCGGCTCTCGTCGTGCGGCTCTGCGCCGTCCTTCTATCCAGGGCTGCTCGGGCACGGCGAGGGCGTGACGCGGCTGAACACGCCGACCCGCCTCCCTTCCCCGCTGAGCGGCGAGCGCGCCGTGAGCGTGTCGGCTGGATTCGCGCACAGCCTCGCCCTCGCCGACGGCGCCCTCTGGAGCTGGGGCAGTGGCTCCTTTGACCAGCTGGGCCACGGCGACGATCAGGACCAGCTGCTGCCGAAGAAGATCGAGGCCTTTGCTGGCCAGCGCGTCGTCGCTGTGTCGGCTGGAAGGTTCCACAGCCTCGCCCTCGCCGCCGATGGCGCTGTCTCGAGCTGGGGCTGTGGAGCTTTTGGCCAGTTGGGCCACGGCGACGAGCAGAGCCAGCTGCTGCCCAAGAAGGTCGAGGCCTTCGCTGGGCGGCGCGTCGTCGCTGTGTCGGCTGGAGGCCACCACAGCCTCGCCCGCACCGCCGACGGCGCCGTTTGGAGCTGGGGCGATGGATGCCTTGGCAAGCTGGGCCACGGCGACGAGCAGAGCCAGTCGCTGCCGAAGAAGGTCGATGCGTTGGTAGGGCGGCGCGTCGTCGCCGTGTCGGCGGGATACTTCCATAGCCTCGCCCTCACCGCCGACGGCGCCGTCTGGAGCTGGGGCGGGGGAGGTGCTGGCCAGCTAGGCCACGGCGACACGCAGGACCAGCTGCTGCCCAAGAAGGTCGAGGTCTTTGCGGGGCAGCGCGTCGTCGCTGTGTCGGCTGGATACGACCACAGCATCACCCGCATTGCCGACGGCAGCGTCTGGAGCTGGGGCTGTGGAGGCTCAGGCCAGCTGGGCCACGGCGACGGGCAGGCCCAGCTGTTGCCCAAGAAGATCGATGCATTTGCTGGGCGGCGCGTCGTCGCTGTGTCGGCTGGAGGCCACCACAACCTCGCCCGCACCGCCGACGGGGCCGTCTTCACGTGGGGCCAGGGCGAACACGGCTGCCTAGGCCACGGAGAGGACCTGTCGAACCAGCTGCTGCCGAAGAAGATCGAGGTGTGGTCGCGGGAGTGAGAGGGGGGGCGAGGGGCGCGTGGCTGATAGGAGTACGACCGGCTCGGGAGAGGCTAAGATCCGGATAGAGTGGGAGGGCCAGCTGGCCAAGCGCTCGCCACCTGTGTTTCTTTTTGCTGTGCCCAGTGTTATGAGGGAGTTTTGGATCCCTATGAAGAGACGCTGATGTTCCGACTCAGAGACTGGATGCAAGCACGCTGGCTGACGCTCGATGCGCCCTCGCGGCCGTCGGAGGTTGCCGAATACGGCTCCATCGCGCGGCTGCTGCGTCCGGGGTCCGAGGCGCTCTGCCGCGAGGCGGACTGGCACTCGCTCATCGCGGCGGCGGTCGAGAAGAAGGCGCTGCCGGATGTCGTCGATCAGCTCACGGTCGCACTCAGGATGGCCTCCGATCCGGCGCACGGGGTGCTGCTGCTCTCTGTGACGTGCCGCCTCGTCCTCCAGACGCTCGCGGCCGGCGGCGACTCGACGCAGTCGCTGACGGTCCTTCCCGAGCCCCTCGACCGATTCCTCCTCGGCCGCCGCGTCTCCGGCAGCCCGGCCGCGTCGCTCGAGGCCATCGTCACGGCGCTGTCCGGCGCCGGCCTCGCAAAGCGCCAGGTCAACCGGCCCGCGGTCGTCGCCCTCTCTGCTCACCTGCTCCGGCTCAACAGCGTGCACAGCCTCCTGCACGCCGTCGCGCGGAGCGCGCCGCTGCACGAGGCCGTCGCCCAAGCCGTCGCGGACGCCATCAGCTCGAGCGAGGGCGGCCACCGGCTGTCTCCCGGCGTGACGAGCCTGATCTCCCTCGTCGTGCAGAACGTGGCCGCCTCGGCCGCCGCGGCGGGTGCAGCCGCTGGGCCGCTGACAAACGCGATGCTACAATTCCTGGGCGAAGTGCAGAAGCGGGCGCCGGCCCTCGCCGCCGCCAGCCTCGCCAGCGGAGTCGTGACTGAGGCCCTCGCGAGCGCCGTTGCATCCATCCGCCCGCCCGCCGCCGCCAAGGCTGCCTTGCGCCTGGGCCACGACTTCGTCTTCCAAACGCTGCAGGGCTTTCCCGCTCACCTCCTCGAGCGGCAGTCCCTCCGCCAAGCCGTGGCGCTGATGCAGTCCCGCGCCTCGAGCTCCGATGTCGACCCGAGCAGCCGGACCCAGGCGCTCAAGGCGCTCGCCGCGTTGGCCGAGATGCGCGCCTGGGGCCCGGCCGACGCAGCCGCCACCCAAGCGGCCGCTGCAGAGGGCAATGCGGAAGGCTTTGCAGAGTGTTCGCACGCTCTCCTCGAGACCATCCGCGACGCCATCAGCTCTGGCCACAAGCCCTTCATCTGCAGCCTCGGCCTCGCGATCCAGGCGCTCATCGCCGCAAACCCGTGGGGCCTCCGCCGCCTGCCGCTGCCCTTGCCGCTGCCAGACCCTGCACGCGAGGACGCCGGCGCTCCTCGGCTGGCCCCGGCGTGCGAGGCGTGGGTCGAGTCGATCGATGGCGAGTTCACCAACTTACTCGACTTGCACGCCGCGATGCCCGCCACGCCAGCCGGCCAGGCCTTCACGGTCCTCGAGCGGGCGGTGCTGGGACCTGCGCGAGTCGGCTGCGTCATCCACCGCGCCCTGTCCACGCCTGCCGAAGCCCCCGGCCGCGCCGCCCTGTTCCACCTCGTGCGCGCCCTCGTCGTGCGGCCCGGTGACGCACGCAGCACTGCAGCGCAGCTCCTCGCGGCGGCGCCCACGCCGACGCATCTGGCCCCCTCTGGCATCACCACCGGCCTCTGCTCCAGCGTTGCGCCCTCGCTGGTGGGCGGGCTGGCCCTCACGCAAGTGGAGTGCAACTCGCTCGCACACGAGCTCCTGCAGGCAGAGCGCCTCATCGCTCCCGACGCGTGGAGCCAAAGAGCGTGGGCGTTCGCTCTGCTCGCCGCGGTGGCAGCGAGCGGAAGCGGCGAGGCAATGGAAGCGGTGCCAAGCGAGTGGATCGTGGCCCAGCTGGCGAAGATGTGCCAATCCCCCCCGGCGGAAGCCTGTGGTGGGGCCAAGAACTTGCTCGCGTGCCTCGACCCGCTCTTGCGGCTGAGCGCGCTGGCAGTGCAGCGGCGGGGCGCCCAGGCCGAGGCGGGGAGCCGAGCGGCGAATCAGGAGGTGGCGTCCTTCCAAGAGGTGCTGCAGGGCAACTTCGTGGAGCTGGCCGTGGCGGGTGCCGAGCGCCGTGCGCTGGAGGTGCTCTTCCTCCAGCCTCGCCACGGCGCGATTGCTGCGCTCGCCGCGCCGCTCGCTCGGCTCCGCTCGCAGGGCCAGTCGTGCCCGCGCGCCGCGGCGGCGCTCCTGCGCTCGGTCGGCGAGGCGAGCCTCCTCTCCGGGCAAGCTCTGCGGAGGGAGGCGAGGGCCGTGGCGCAGCAGCAAGCCGCGCCCGCGCCCACGCCGGCCCATGAGGGGCTGGACGAGTACGACTACATGGAACGCGAGTCCGCCTCCGCCCGCCTCGAGGAGGAGGAGGCGCGGCTGATGCTCGAGGCGCTCAACGAAGACCCGTTCTGCAGATTTGTGCCGTGTCTGGCGGCTTGCGCCGCTGACCACGCGACGCCCTGTCCGGTGCGCTGCTCGGCGGTGACTTCTCTCGGCCGCATCGCGCAGCTCCACCCCCGCGTGGCCGAGGGGCTGCTCCCCACCCTGGCGCCGCTGTGTGCGCGGAGCGAGCCGGCCGAGGTCCGCTCGCGCGCGAGCCTTGCCGTCGCGTCGCTCGTCGCGAGCGTGCCGCGGCTCGTGGAGCCCCTGCTCGAGGAGGCGCTGCGCGCCCCGCTGCGCGCCCCGCTGCGCACGCCCGCTCTGCTGCGGCGGGCGGCGGGCGCGAGCCTCCTCGACTTGTGCGCGGCGCGGAAGCTGCGGGCGGCGACGGAGCTGCCGCTCGTGCTCCCCTGCCTGCTCGACCCGGACCCGCAGCTCGCGGCCCGGGCTTGGGGCTGCGTGCACGCCGTCATGAAGCACGAGGGCTCCCGCTGGTGCCGCCTCGCCTACGCCGCACTGCTGCCGCTCTGCCACACGGCAGCCCAGCCCCTCTTCGCGCGCCTCGTCGCGCTGCTCCTCCCGACCGTCGTGGCGGCGCGGGCGGCCGATCTGGCACAGGTCGTCTCTTGTCCGCTATAGTTTCTTGGGCGTGGATGGGGGTCCGATCTGAACCAAGGTTGGACTACTACCACAGGTCGGCGAGGCGCTGGTGCAAGCCATGTCCAAGCTCGTCCAGCCGCCCAAGGTGCTGCGCCGCAACCTCGCCACGCTCGCCGCCTCGTGGCCGCCGTCGGACCGCAGCTTGGCCGCCGCCCTCGGCGCTCTCGGCGGCGGCCAGGCGAGAGACGACGCCGACGCCGACGCAGCGGAGGGCGGCGCGACAGCAGGCACGCGCGTGGCTCGAGATTCGGCAGCCGGCCCACGCCGTGACCTCCACACCGTGACTCGTTCCGCTGTACGCGGCAGGGGCAAGCGATGCCTCCACCACGCCGCTCCTCGTGCTCTGCCGCCGCGACGAGCAGGTCAAGAAGGGCTTGGCCCAGCACGTGCGCGCGGCGAAGCAGGCCAGCGGCCTCAAGGGCAGCACGCTGGACAGCGTCGCTCGGCTGCTCGACGCCGCGCGCCCGTCCGGCGGCGAGCGGGGCGAGTCGGATGACTCGGACACGTCGTCGAACGATCCGGGAGACGAGCGGGCGGGGCGAGGGCGGGTCGAGGCTTGCGAGGCTTGCGAGGCCGCGTCCGAGTCGGGCGAGGACTTTGACGCGCCCGCGCCTGAGACCAAGCGGCGCGCGGGGCGGCGGGGCGCCGCCCCCGCCCGCGACGACAGCGGACAAGGCAAGACGGCGGCCGAGGACGGCGACCGTGACGACCGGGCGCGCCGCGTGCTGGGCCAGCTGCAAGCGCCAGCCCCCCTCTACCGGTGCACGCAGTTTGAGGATGCGGAGGAGGGCGGCGGCGCCCGGCCGCGGCCGCCAAAGAAGACGAAGATGGCCAAGCCTCCAGGCGCGAAGCGGCTTGGCGGCCGGACCTGAAGGCCGCGTCGCGGCGAGACGGGGAGAGAGCTGGCGGCGGCAGAGGTGAGCCTCAGTACGACCGCCAGCGAGCCAACCTGCTAGTAATACAAAAGCGGCGGTACGTCCTAAGGAGCAAAACACCACGGACCACGCACTCGGCACTCTCGACGTCTCGCGCGAGAGGTCTCTTGCGGGTCTTGGAGCAGATCAGCAGAACCCCGGCCGGCGAGATCTCGAGAGGGCACCCTAAGGGTGGACAGAAAGATGGGCTCGGGAGAAGGAAGAGAGTCGTCCCGACCTTCCATACGGCAAGTAAGCAGAGCAGTCAGCCAAGGTAGCATGTGTCTCCCACCCACACACAACATGTACACACACACGCGTCACAGATCACAGATCACACACACAAAATGTGATCGCAAAAAAATGGTTACAAAGTAAAAAGAAAGAAAACAACCGTGACAATTCGCCACCGGAGCATTTAATGGTTTGCGACATTCGTGAGCGATATTGCCAGTGGACATCGAGTCACTTTTGGGGGCCTCGCTGTCGCCGACGGTGACTGCGGGCCTTGATGGGAGGCGACCGCGGCTCGTGGAGCGCCCCACAAGATTCCAAGACTGTGCGCGATATCAGCGGCAGCGGCAGCGGAGCAGCCGCAGCAGCAGCCGCCCGGCCGCTGGCGATCACTATCGGGTTTTCGCAGGAGGACGAGGACCCCGACACCTGCTACATCTGTCTTTCCTCGGAGGGCCCGATGCTGGTCAACGTGTGTGCGTGCCGCTCGCTACGCGCACACCGCAGCTGCCTTCTCGAGCTCACGCGCAGGCAGACTGGTCCACCGGTCTGCGGCGTCTGCCGCCAGGAAATTTGCCCGGAGGAACTCGAGCTCTCCCTGCCTGCGGTGGAGCCCGTGGCTCCGGGCTCCCAGTGGGGCAAGACCCTCCGTGTCACCAGCCAGATCGTCAACGTCATCTTCGGTGCGCCCCGCCGCAGTCAGCGCCCCACTCCCTCTCCTTCCTCCTAAGCCGCTTCCCAATCATTGTTGGTGCGCAGGTCTGGTGATGCTGTTTGTGGGTTTGGTCGGTCTGATAGCGCCCCGCGCTCTCCCCGGCACACCGGTCGGCATCCACGTCTTTCAGCTGATCTCCGGCCTCGCCGTGTTTCTCGTCTCCTGCGCCACCGCAGGCCGGGAGCACGAACTCTCCGGGAGTCTCTCCGCCGCTCAGCCTCAGGCAGCGGGGCCGGGAGCGCGCGTGCGTGAGGGGTGACGCCGCGCAGGGACTGACGTACACTTTTTACTTACGAAAAAGAGGCAAGCAAGCAGGTGTCCTGCTTGCTAGTGCCCGCATAAACAGCTGCGGGGGCTAGCGAATTACATGTGCATGTACATGTGCATGTGCACATCTTTCACCCGGCGCGCCATGCGCGCGCCGCCATTTTCACCACCGCCGCCGTCGCCGCCCTCGCCTCACGACGTGACCTTAAAGAACTTGTCGAAGCTGCGCAGCCAGTCGTCGTCTCGGGAGCAAGAACTTTCCGACCGACTACTTGGTTGTCTCGCCGACGGAGCGTGACGTTTTCAAGGTCGTTCACGACTGCCATGCTAGTAGCAAGCGGCGATGGATCGATCATGACGGCTGGCTGTGGCGCCTGCATCTGGAGCTGCACTTGCTGGCCTGCGGCAGCGTTGTCGTGCCTTTGCCGGTTCTTCCTTTTCGCCTCTGGCCGCTTGATCTCCTCGTCCAGCGCGGCGCCCGCGATGCAGCTCACGTCGGGCGCGTCGCACCAGCCTGCACCACCCGGCAGGAGGACGCGCCATGAGCGGCCGACGGTTCAGGAGCAAAGCTGTCGTCGGGGCAGCTGATGCCGCAGCTCTTGCTGCCTTGCTTCTTCGCGTGACCCACCTACTTCCACCCGTCACAATACCACACCACACACCACCACGCTTGGGTCGCCATCCTTCTCGTAGGATGGCATTCCGTTGACGAATTTCTTGGAGCACTTGGAGTGCAGTCATTAACCGCACATCCAGGGCCGGGGAGCTAAGAAGCGCACCCAGCGGGCCGGATGATTGGCATCGGGTTACGGGCTAGAGAGCCCTAGCCCCGGGGGTGCGCGGTCGCAGGGCAAGGGCTAAAAGTAACACGGGTCTCGAGGGTT